GCAGATACTCTTATTAATTTATTTTATCAGTATTTAAATGCTCCCATGCCTCTCTTTACAATATAAAATAGTCATAGATGATTGAAGTAGAACTTTTTTAACTTAAAAATCAGTTGTAAATGATATTTTGTCTTGAATAAATTTGCAAAAACGTTGCAACATGTGTAAATAAATGATGATATAATAATTGACAAATTATCTGATTCGTTTGTAGTCCATTTGTTGTTTATATGTCTACCTCTCTAAACTTTCATTCAAAGTTTAGATTTGTCTTTTCATTCAGAGATTATTTAACAGAAATTTAATTTTACAAAATAACCTCAAAATTATTCGAGATTTAAAAACAGAATATGTTGTACTGTTGTCAATTGCATTCACGATTGTTGTTGAGGTTTAAATTTATAAATTACATATATAAACAGTTTTAAAATATTAAAGTATTTTACAAATATTTGTTCAAAAATTCATTGTGTTTTATGGTTGAATGTAAGATTTAATTCGACTTGCAGTTAAATTAATTAATAAATTAAATTAAATAATTAATTACATTATTTTTTAATAATAAATGATAAATAATTAATTTTTGTTGACAGTCTATTTTTTTCATTTGATTCGAAAATATCGATTTTTTCGTTTTGAAACATTGAACATCAGCCAATGACCAATCAGAATTCATGAAATACTTTCTAGTTGTGGCTAAAAATATAAGACAATATAAAAATATATTCTTTACATTATTTTTATTAACAAATGATAAATACTTTAATATTTAATTTTTGTTCACTGTCAAGTTTTTCATTTGATTTAAAAATATCGATTTTTCCGTTTTGACCATTAAACGACCAATCGCGTCAACTGGATTCAAATAACGTCATCGGCTAATGACCAATCAGAATTGTAAATGCATCATTTACATATCTTTTATTAATAAATAATATTTTGATAATTATTTTTTGTGGACATATGTATACATTTTTAATATTTTTTTAAATTCAATCACATTTGGCTGTTTGGTTGGCAATTATCTATCCTTCATTAATTTATATTTATTTATCATCAATTAAATCAAAAATATCGATTTTTTTCTTTTGAAACATTAAACGACCAATCGCGTTAACTCTATTCAAATAATCTCATCGGCCGATGACCAATCAGAATTCACGGAAGTCAACCGTAACCAACTTCATATTGTAGAAATGCGTCCTGGACGTGTTTAAAGAGGCTCTACTTCAAAAACTTATTTAATTAATTCATAATAAACGATTTTAAAATTACTAACCGTTTAATAAACCGTCTAATAAATATATAGTTAACACTCTTTTACAAAAAATTGGTTCAGTATTTGTTGAACGGTTTTTATTTAAAAAATATTTTTTCTTCACATTTGTGATTGTAATTTGGGACATTGTAAAACTTATTTTGCTGCCATGACAAATTTTTGGAAATATCTTCATAGGTTTGTCAATCAAACATTTATTTTGAATGATAAATGATGTTTCTTTGTTATAAATTCAACGCCTCTAACTGAAAATTGATACTAATTTTAAAGTCATAAAGAGAGGTATAGGAGTTATACATTGTCGAATGACTCTTGCTACATTTAATCTTCACAAAATTATTTTACCAATTCTCTACCATTTTAAATTGAAAAAATCATCATCATTCAATTATTAATTACTTCGCCTCCTGATAGTATTCGAAATAGAGTATTTTTAAACTTATTAACATAGAGTAGTCATCATTGCTCGCATACTCTTTCTTTGACTCTAATGAAAAAAAATGTACATAAGGCTTTTTGCGGTTTAAATATTTTTGTAAGTTCAATATCGTGATGTTTCAAATTGTTGGTTGTAGGTTTTACAAATAGTTGAATATTTATAATAAACGTAGGCATAGTGGAATATTATATCGAATAGATTCATTTATGTATATGTGGATTAAATATATATATTGATTAATTTATTTATGAGTGAACATACGTAACTTGAAAGGTATTATGAAAATTATTTTAAATTTTATATATATATATATATATATATATATATATATATACGTGGTCTGTTCAAAAAGTACCCGGAATTTTCGTATATAAATATAAAATATTTATTTATTCGTCTACATTAATGTGGTCCCCTTCAAAGTAGTCCCCCCCAGATATAATACACTTATGCCAGCGTTTTTTCCAATTTTCGAAGCACCCTTGATATTCACTTTTTGATATGTCCTTGAGCACTCTCAGCGATTTTCTTCAATCGAGGAAAACCGCCGTCCTTTCATGGGTCTCTTCAACTTTGGGAATAGGAAAAAGTCACACGGAGCCATATCTGGTGAATTTTTGCACTTTGCAACACTTTATTTCATTTTTTACGCAAAATTTAATACAAATTCTTTGACTTTTCAATTCTTCCATTGTAAAAATCGCCGAGCTCAGAAAAACACGTCGAACCTTAGCGACTACCACAGACAAAGTAAACAGTGAATATAGCTGAAAATTTCATCATACTTTAGGGGCATGTATACCAACACAATAAAAAAAAATTTTGACAATCAGACACTCCAGACCCGCGAAATTTAATTATTAGTAATTCCGGGTACTTTTTGAACAGACCACGTATATATATATATATATATCAATAAACTTGATTTCCGTATTAATCAGTTTATTTTTACTGGAATTACTCAGTGTTGTGTAACTTGGTAATTTTAGATATATTTATTTAATATAGTTATAAATGAGTACATAAATATATATACAGATTGATAATTATGGAATTAATGAACACCAAAAATGTAATGCTGTGTTTTTACATGTTTCGATTTAAATGTTTTATACGTAATGAATGTTTGAGATTTTAAATAATTAAATTATGTACTCATTTCAATCGTTTTAATTATAATTTTAAAGTGAAATTGTATTGAAATTATGTACCAATATATGTATGATGGTTACGAAAAGGTGTCTTTTAATAAATAGTAAATAAAACTAGACGTAAGTGTCGTTTTGCTTCGATATATGTATATGTATATATATATATATATATATATATATATATATATAAGGGACACAACTAGTGTGAAATTTTCAAAAAATTGAATTTTAAATTTTTCCATCTTTCGGCAGGTTATACCTTTATATATAACATACTAAAATTTGAAATCTATATCTTAAATACTTTTTGAGTCATAGCCATTTGAAGAGTGTATATATAGTATATAGTATAACGATTATTTTATTTTTAAACGCGTTTTTCTCGAAACAGCATTTTCCGAATTTGCTGCAGCGATTACTCAAAAACAAATGATCCGATCACTATCGATTTTTTTTACATGTTCTATATATAGTTCTCCGTAAAATGAACTATCGATTTTTTGATCGGATCAAAAATCGAATTTTGGCAGTCCAAAAACGACCAAAATTTTGGGTAAAATTCGAATTCTTTTAAAAACGCCGCCATTTTGTCAATTTTTGATTTTTTTTATTTATCGTAGGTCATTTTACAGACAATATGCTATCTATCTAGTTTAATGAGAATTTTTTTTAAATTTCATCCACGTAGAAGGCCGGAATCACTGCGGCAGTTAAGAGTCTTTTTTTGTCGCGCCGTTGGAGATCGACGATAACTTAAAAAATTATTAATTTTTTTTTTTCAAAAATTTTACTATGTATTCTTAAAACATGTGTAAATATATTCTTAAAATTTTGAAATGATTGATAAAGTAGTTTTTTTAATATAAATTCCCAAAAATCACCTTTTCTAGGCGGTTACACTACTTGTGCCCCTTAATGTATATTTATATTTAAAATGATTTTGCAGCCCAATTGTCGAATTAAAAAGGGAGGGTTAATATAGGAAAAATCTTTTTTATATGTTTCGACACTTAATCTGTGTCATCATTCAGCAATCTAAAATATACACATTACAATAAATAACAATTTGAAATTAAATACAAAAAAGAAAAAAAATTATATACATACCAAGCCAGGAAAAACACGAAAAAGAAATAAAATTTATTAATTTATATATTACTTATGGTGTTCTCTAAAAAAAAAAAAAAATTCATACACAATTTTAGTGTATTTTAATAACTTTTGTTTTTTTGTGTATTTTCTTGGAATGTATATATTTTTCTGTGTTTTTGTATTTAATTTGAAATTGTTATTTATTGCAATATGTTCTTTAGATTGCTGAATGATGACACACATTAAGTGTCGAAACGTCTACTAATTTTTCTATATTAAACCCCCCCCCTAATTAATTCAACTGTTTATTTCAAAAATAAAAATTATTTCTCTTTTATGAAAAACCAATTATTCTGATTTCCAATAAATATGTTTTCTTCAAAGGCAGGTCCGGCCGTTTATATATATATATATATATATATATATATATATATATATCCATATTTTTTTAACAAAGTTTTTGCCCCTAAGAACTGTAATTGTAATTAAACGATTCAGAATGTCTGGAAACGTCGTAAAAAAGTAAAAAAATTAATTTTTCTATAGATGGGTTAATAAAACACAGTGTTCGTATTAGACTGTCCTGCTATATATATTTTTTATTTAATTTGTACGCAATTCTAAACATAGAAAATAATTAATATAAAATTTATTCTGATAAAATGGTATTAATATAATAACTGCCCTTCTTCTTCTTAATCTGTATATAATACAATGCTTAGTTTTTATAAAACATCAAAACAAAGTCTTGTGAGATCAGACTTCTTAATAATAACACGTACGCACACATATTTACAAGATTTATTTTAAAATATACTATTATTCATTTTGCAAAGGAATAATTGTTTTGTTACAACATAATTTTTTGTATTAATTTACAAGAGCAAGGTTTGTTTCGTTAACAATTTATATTTCTGTTTTTATTTAACATAAATACACATTTGCATGGAGAAAATGAAACTCTTAAAGTATTAGAGTCCTATGAAAAGTCCAAGTTTTAATTAATTTTTATAATTAATGCCACTCTTCATAGGCCTATAATATTTTAAGGATTTTATTTCGGTAAGTCGGCCAAAAGAAATAAAAAATAAACCTACATCAAATTTGTGTTAGTCAACATTAAATAGATACAAAATACAAAAACGCCCCATTTGGGTGCAATGGTTAGTCATAATATAAAAGTTCAATAAAACTTCACCATCGTTATCACAAATAATAATTTCATCATCATCATAATCGTCATCGTCACCATCACACACTCAGTTTATCAGAAGTGTCCTTTACTACTAATCACGATATGGTACAAGAATTTCTACCGCTGTCCCTGGATATACCACTGTCGCCGCCCCCCAATTTGTGGACGACCCGGAAACAGGACGTGGAATTGCTGGTTCCTTTGGAATTGGAGGAGTTGCTCAGGGACGTCGTGGGCCTCCATTGGGAACCGCTGACCAGGGCGTAGGATTTCAAGTGATTTCGCACCAGAGGAGGCAAGGGGAGCTGGTCTATGCTGTAGACGCTGGTCCTTTGTACTATTGCTCGGCAGCAGAGCTCCTGGAGACTCAGAACTAAGGGATAAAATAAAGGATAGATGAGAATATATGTTTAACTAGCTGTAAGTGGAATTCTGTCTTAAGGCAATTAGGGCATCGTGCCTTAAGGCAAATTGCTGGAACTTCTCGTAACAAAAATTATTATTTTTTTAAAAACGATTAATATTTAAAAAAAAAAATTACTTTGAAAAAATAAGATTTTTGAGAAACTATAAATTGGACAAAAAATTAGTTTTTTTTGAAAAAAAAATTTTTTTTTTAAAAATTTAAAAAAAAAAAAATTTTTTTTGATAAAATTTTTTTTTTCTTTATTTTGACATATTGTGGAAGATCTGAACTTTTTTTTCAAAGCAATCGTACTGCTTTAACTGCATAAGGACAAAATATAAAGCGCGTAAGCGCCGCGTCGCTGTCTAACGCATAAGCATTGGTACGGAACCCATAGGAATGTTAACAAAATGTATACTTATTGTTAAAATCTCTATAAAATATCTGATAATTTGATGTGCATATGTCTAATGATCATTTTTGACCGCCAAATGGCTCATTTTTTTTACTTTTTTCTCTATATCTCCGAAACCGCTGGACCTACCTTCATGAAAATTTTATCGATTCTTCATCTTGTCAATACAAATAAAATGTTTTTTGAATTATTCAAATCGGACGCTCCGTTCTCTTAAAAACGGAGGTACCGTTTTCGGCACTTTTTGCCCCGTATCTTTGGAACGGCTAGACCTGCCTTCGCCAAAAACTAATCAGCACGTCTCCTTATCAATACAAATCGATTTTTTTTTGAATTATTGAAATCGGTTGATCCGTGTTCCCGAAATCGTCGACGAAAATTTGTATCCGCACATACATACACACACGCACACACACACACATACATCCATTTTTTCTAAGGTATGCCAAAATGTTCAGAAACCTTTGAAACGTAAAGATATATTATATAAAAATTTTCATTTTCGATTTTTTAGCGATTACTATAACTTGCCCTACGGGAAGTTAAATATATGCGTACAGGCTTTAAGTGAATTACCTCTGTTTCCTCTCCATAGCCTTTCCATGCCGTTCCTATGCAGAGCCATTCTAGCCAATTCACTGAAAGACTCCCGAATGTTGAAATCACAAAGGGGGCTTGCTTCGAAACAGGCCATGCCGTGTCTTCGGGCATACAATTCAGCCTCACGGGCTCCCACTTGTCTTTTAAAGGCTAAGTGTAAACGATTACCTACTAAAACTTTTGGAACACCTGGGGCATGCTGGAAAAAGGAAAATAAATAAATAAATAAATGAATATATATCTTATATATAAAAATGGATCGCAAAATGTGTTGGTAAGCGCATAACTCAACAACGCCTGGACCAAATGGCCAATTCTTTTTTTAAAATATTTGTTGAAGTCCAAGGATGGTTCTTACGTCGAAAAAAATCGAATAATTCTCGGGAAAACCCTAAAAACAGCCCTTTTCTATTTCTCATACAAACGTTTTCTAACTAAAACGTAGAATCAATTTGAGCTTTATTGCTATTATATAAAGTTCATATTAAATTACAAGCACTCACTGTATACTCCTTCTAAACTATTATGCGGATTTTGACAAATCTTCCTGAAGTTTGTTAAGGAAATTTTCTAGGATGTATGTGATTATAAAGTACTGGGATGTAGGTGCAATATTGTAGAAATAAATGGAAAAAATTGCAAAAAACGACATGTCATTGTTTGCATTGAAAATAAATGAAAACTATCATCTGCCAAAAATTTCAATTTACTTATGAACCTGGACAATATTAGTATATGTATAATAAATTTGTGATTATGAATAAGAAAAATGAAATATCTACATTACTATTGCTGAAAAGCAGCTGAGATGTGCCAGAAATTAAAATGATATAAAATACAGCATATGTATGGCAGATCAAATTATACACATATGAATAAATATGACAAATTAATTCACTTAAAGTGTGAAATTAAGTATTAATCAGGGCCGGTCCTACCTTTAATACGAGCGCACGCCTTAGGGGGCGCCTACACAAGATTCGGATATTAAATTTTCAATATAGATTTATTTTTCAATATATAATTTCTTTGCATCTTTTACTAATCTTATACCACAATATTTTTAAAATTCGTACAAATTTCACTTTATAACATAAAATAGGAAAGTAAAGATGAATACATACAATTCGGCCCTCACGATATCGATTAGGAGAAGTTTAAGATGCAATTTTGGATATCTTAAATAACAAAAAATCAAATTTATTTAATTCAGCATGAAGTACCAGTATTATGTTATGGTTATGGTTATGTTATACCGTTTAAGACTTCAATTTCCAATAAAGTGTGAGAATTGAGACTCATCATTTTATTTAAAGCAGTTCTACATTTAACATCGCTCTTATTATAAATGTATATGCATTTTAGCGTGAAGAGTAATTTAAAAAACAATAATTATTATTTTTTGGTAAACGGTAAATATTAGTATATTATATGAAAAAATGTAGATATGTGTACAGAACAACGTCTGTCAGGTCATCTAGTAAATATATATATATATATATATATATATATATATATATAAATATATAAATATATATTGTATATATATATATATATATATATATATGTATGTATGTATTATTTACCTCGTCTACTTCCTTGAGCCACCTATCGATCCCATTGAAAGACCATTTGTTGGTTATATCGTACACAAGCAAGACTCCTTGAGCACCTCTTGAATACGAACGTATTATCGTGCAAAACCTGCCTTGACCGGACGTGTCCCATAATTGTAACTTGACTCTTTTACCATCTAGCAGGATTGTTGTCGTCTTATAAGCTAAAATATAACAAATATATAATATATATATATATGTATATATATATATATATATATACATATATGCATATATTCATGTGTCTATTATCCTACCTGTTCCAAATGGGGATTCCACAGACCCGTCTTCCAAACCGGATAGAATCTCCTGTTTCCCAACATCGCTGTCACCGACAAGGAGGACTTTTAGTAAATAATCATATTGTTTCGGAGGCTGACTTGATCTGTGTGGGGGCCCACCTCTGTTCTCTTCAGCCATATTATTTTGAGATATTTACAATAATATTTATGCATAATACAAACTATGGGAATATGGAAGTAAGCCAGCAAATTATTGGCATTTGTCAAGGGAGGGTGGTAAATGATACACAAATTGTGTGTTTTAACGTGCACAAAATTTCAAGCACTTTGTATATTTTTTTAACAATTTTTATAAGTGTTTTATCCGATTTTTATAAGTCTATTATCCATATGTATGCAAGGACATTGTACAATTTTAAATTGTTCTACGTACGATTTTCATTGAATGTTTTTACGATTGTGTATTACGTGATGATTTCTTCAAGTGAAAATTATATTTAAATTGTTGACATATTTTGATTACACAAATAATTATTTATTTATTTTAGCTGTCGCACTAGAAAGTGTACGAAGTTGTTTACTGCCATCAGAATTCCATTGGAGGACGTTCGGAGGTCCGGGGAAAAACAATTCGAAATTTTGATTGAAATGGATAATTATTTAAAATTAATATTTAAATGTACATGAACAAGATTTACATGCATGGAATTCTCTACAGGTATTTAAAAATTTATATATATACTAGCTGACCCGACAGACGTTGTTCTGTACCTACGTCAACAATTTTTCAATATTTTATACTAATATTTACTGCTTAGTTAAAAATAATAATTACTGTTTTTTGAATTACTATTTACACCAATATATAAGTGATGTTGAATGTAGAACTGTTTCAAATAAAATGATTGTTCTCAATTCCCACAGTTAACACTTTAATTATTTATTTAACAAATATTAAAAAATGTTCAATAAAATTGTATATTAAAAATTAAACACTGCGATTTATAGAACAAATTTATTTCCAATAGCTCAATTTATTTTATTGCATTTAAGGGTTATATAGTATTTTTAGCCATACCTGTAGATGTGGATGTATAAATGAATGATTTTTTGTTTATTCACGACTAAAACATTGATTTTCCAAATTTATCACACTAAAAATGATCGTCTGCCTTTTTGATTTATGGTCATAGCATAAGATACTCATGTTGAAAATTGAAATCTTTTAAAAAGTACAACAAATTCAGAAAGAATTAATATATAGCATTGGCGGCAAAGGTGCAATATCACCTTTTATTTTTCTCACCCAAAATAATTGCTTCAATAATGTTGCCTATAATTTTTATAATTTTGTACCATATTTTAACTGGCTTTAAGTAATTTTAATATCTAAATTGCATTTTTTTCTCTAATAAATCAATATACATTATTGCTTAAGTTTATATTTGAAGTGAATTAATTTGTCAAATCCTGTTCACATGTGCTCTATTCAACTTACGATCAACAAAATTATTGCTCTGTAATTTTTTTTTACTGTGCTCCAATTTACTTGATATTTTGGAAATAGGCTAATCTTTATCTTAGTTTCAATGTTTTTAACAATTTGCACTCCGTCACCATCCACAGCAATAATTGGATTATTACTCTTTTAATTCTGATTTTATCAGAACTTGTAATACACTATTTTAAAGGTGATTAAATGAGCTACAACTTTCTCTATCATTAATTTTACCGTAACTTCTCTTATTGTAAAACGGCGAAGGGTTAAAGGGCTCGAAAACCTCTGGTTGGACAGCTCCTTAATTAATCATACATCTATCAATATTTGTGTAACGAAAAAATAATAAACAATAATAATTAGTCAGAAAAATACCTCGAATTTTCTTATATATATACTTTTATACGTATTCTTTCAGAGGTATTATGATGAGAAATTGGTTGTTTTTTTTAAAATGTTTTTTTTTTTTCATGAAATCATGAGTTTTTTAAGAATCATTTGTACTAAAGTTGTGGTATTTTCTAGAATCCATCAAGATCTCTTAAACCAAGTTAATTCTAGATTGAATACGATTATTTTTAATTTTGGTGGATATGGCACTCAAAGTATTTGATTTAAATGAAAAAAAAAAACATTGCATGCGTCCTTTATCTGCATGATAGCTCACTCATTTTACACGCAGAAGTACTCATTTTAAAGCTTATTTTGAGCACTATAAAAACCCATTTTCATATCTAGCCTAATAATGTTCCTAAAACACTATAAAATAACGATTTATTAAGATTTTAATTGATATAATTCTGTTCATTACATGATTTTCGTTAAAATGTATATTTTTGAAGGTGTTAGCAACAAATGATGAAAAACGCAAAAAAGAAACAAATATTCAGTAGCCAGTAACTTGAAAAGTATTTCCTTTTTTGAAAAACATTATTAAATATTTTTCTCGTATAATTAGTTCTTTTATCGATACCCAACGTTATTTTGAAAAAAGTAAAATTACACCACTGAAAAGAAATGTCATCCACCCGAGAAGTGGTAAAGGAGTCTAAATTGTTTTCACTTCTGAAGAGTAAGATGAACCTAGTTCCAAAATTCCAAACGAATTGGAAAATAGTAAAAATTTCAGACTCAAAGCGCTCCATTGAGTAAATATTCCGTACCCAATGACAAACATATGAATTTTTGACACAATGAAACTTCTAAATAATTTTTTTTGTATTGTGACTTAGTATAGTAAGGCAAAACGACTGCAAATTGAATATGTTTGAGCGCAATCACTTATGGCTCGCTCCTTTGCGCGAATTCGTACGGCGAATCTGTTCGCAAAGTGCGCAAACAAAATTATTGCAAGCAAAAGCAAACCACGCGCACGTCAGACGCATGCGCAGACTGCATCACTTGTCAAATGCATGTTATATTATTTGCATCTTATATTAATTTAATTTTTGGCACATCTCAGCTGCTTTTCGGCATTAATAATGTAGACATTACATTTTCTTTATTCATAATTATGAATTTATTATATTCTAATATTGCCTTAGCCTATAAGTGAATAGAAATGTTTTTAATTGACAGTCCTCAATTGTTTTTAATGTCAAACTAAGCTTCAAATATTTTCAAGGGCAAACAATGATAAGCGGTTTTTTGTAATTTTTTCTATTTATTTCTACAATTTAACTATATTTCTATGAATCAAAACATTCTAAAAAATTTCCCGAACAAACTTCAGGAAGATTCATGAAAATCCGAATTATAGTTTAGGAGGAAATATGAAACTTACATTGTTACAGAAGAATTTTATATATAAGATATATATATATATGTATTATGTATATATTTCATATATAAAATTCTTCTGTACCGGTGTATGATTTGATACTTCTCCTAAACGGTTATTCGGATTTTGAAAATTCTTCTTAGAGTTTGTCAAAGGAGATTTTTAAGATTTAATAAACGATAAAACTATAGTAATATTGTAGAAATAAATAGCAAAAATTACAAAAAACCACTTATCATTGTTTGACTTTGAACTGTCATCTGCTAGAAATGTCAATTCACATGAAATTTGAATTTAGCTGAAATTATGAGCCTAAATAATATTAGAATATTGTAATATACAAGAAAAATGTGATATCTATATTATTATTTCCTGAAAAAGCTAAGATGTGCCAGAAATTTTGCAGATAAAATTATATAGTTCAATTTGACAGATTATTTTTTTAATTTAATGCAGTCGTGTTTTGCCTTACTTTACTGAATTACAATACAAAAAAAGTTATTCAAAAAGTTATTTAGAAGTTACATGGTGTCAAAAATTGCTATAATTTTTTTTTTCAAAATGACGTCGGATATCGATAGAAGAACTAATTGTAAAAAACAATTTTTTATAATGTTTTTCAAAAAAGTAAATACTTTTCAAGTTACTGGCTACAAAAAATTTGGGGCTCGACACATAAGACTTTTTTTAAAAAAATGCTAAAAAAGTATTCTTTATACTCAATCTGTATAAAACTTTTTTTTATTATATAAATATACATATATATATATATATATATATATATATATATCTATATATATATATATATATTTGTATATATATATATATATATATATATATATATATATATATATATATATATTTGGTTTGCCTTCACTGCTACAAAGTGCAAATGTGAAGTCTGCCATTTTAGGCAGTTTCTGATAAAATTCTTTTGTTATTGCATTTTTAATATTATAAACAATATTTTCATATATAATTATATATAGTTAACAATTTTTTCTCTAAATTTATTTTATTTAATCACAAAAACCTATGGAAATTGTTTAGTGTATCTTTGCACTGTCAACTAACCTTAAACTTTTTCTTATTCATTATGCAAATATTATTTTGAAATGAAATTATAGTCTTATTTTATTCTTAATTATATGATTATTATTTATATATATATTTTTTTATTAAATACTAAATTAAATTACATATTAAAATTTACTTAGCAAAGACTCAACTCAATCATCACTAAAGCTTCCCAATATTTTACACAGATGGATTATGAATCTACAAAACGCGCCAAATTTAAAAATTTTGAAGTTAAATTTAATACAGATGTTATTGGTATAAAAAATAAATATTTGTCTTCATATATAAAAATTATTTAGTTAAATATTCAATCAGTTTTTGTCATAATTTGTTCAGAAATCTTGGTATATTTTATTATTTGTTTTAAAAATCTGACACTGATATAGTTTTTATGCTAGAATGCTATAATTTCAGTATGTTATTTACTAATACGTCTTTAAAAATATCTTATATAAAAATAAGTATGTTTTCTTATATAAAATATGAGTAATAATTTAATAAAACTATGTCACCAAACGTAATTGCAAAAATCCTTAATCTGATTGCAGTTTGAAGTTTTTGAAACTTACTTTTTTTAAAATAAATATAAAATTGCTAAAGTGCTATAATTTAAACATGTATTTGATAAATATGTATAGAAAATTTTCAAGTATAAAAATATATGTGACTTCATATAAAAAAAATGAGTAATTGAATATTCAATCAGTTTATGTCGTAATTTGACAAAAAATCTAGGTATATTTTAATATTTATTTTGAAAATCTGACCTGGCTATATTTTTTGTTCTAGAATTTTATATTTAAAGTATGTTATTTACTAATATGTCTTTAAAAATATCTAGTATAAACATCAATATCGTTTTATATAAAAAATATGAGTAATTAATAATTTAATTAAATTATGTCACAACCTATGGTCACAACGCCTTGTTGCAAAGCTCTGGAACACAAATTCTCGGAACTGATTTTTGTAAAATATATATAAAATTGCTAGAATGCTATAATTTTAGTATAATATACATTAATAAGTTTAAAATTATATTTTGTACAAAAATACATATGCTTTCATATATAAAAACTGTGTTATTAAAAATTTAATAAGGCTTTGCAAATTCTCATGCCATTGAATAGTAAAGATATTTTTAAATACTAGGGACAGTTATAGTTTTTGTGCTAATTCGCTGTAGTTTTAATATTGTATACATTGAAGTATCTAAAAA